TTACCAATCAGTGGCCAATTTCAAACTACAATGGATGTTATTCCACCATTTTCAACAGATTTGCTGAACTTATGAAGGCCCACGCCTCCAGTGGATTGGAGTACATCTGGTAAAGCGGTTGTAAATGCCCATTGTGGTTTGAAAGCGATTGGGAAACACTGATTGGGAAACACCTACTGGTGTTCTGCAGAGATACATACCTGCATGATCTCGTGGTCATCAACTGTCTTCATTATGCTGTCGACTTTCATCCAAATTTCAATGCTGATCCAACACACTTTAAACACTGAAATATCAACCTCAAACAAAATGATGGTTTGGATCAAAACTCAACATTGTATCAATGTCACCATGTTATCTGGGACCAGACCCTTACCAGATCTTCATATCTTTAGATTGTTTTGCTACGCAACTACATAATGTTCTCAATAAAACATTTCATTATAGTTATGGAGGATAATCCAATAAGGCCTGGTGGCTTAATCGACAAGTTCCTCTGTCGTTGCGGAGACCCCCCATGACACATTAGCCTAGCACGCCATCCTCTTATCCTTAGCATTCCCCTGCCAACAAAATAATTGAAATAATTGTTCACTCATTTGAATAAGTGGCTCCCCAGCATGCATGATAACCATTGTTAAGGCACACATAGCTCCAGGAAGATTGTTGTCTCTGTGAGATGAAGCCATGAGTGATGGACATGCTACTCGCAGATGCTCGCATATTCATTCCACGTATGGGGGGTAGAGAGGCACTTTTTAAACATGAGGCGGGAAGCTTGGGCAGGTATTTACTGCTGCCTCCCATTGCGCTCCTATTTGCCTCATCACGGGTGGCAAGGGAAGACGCGGGAGACTGAACGGTTTCTCTGAGCATCTGCAGATGCTTTAACACGAGTCCCCGGAGGCATATAATAACCTATTACCTCCATCTCTGACTAAAACACACATTTAAACTACAATTACACCCCCTGCTTTCTCTCCCTCTTGCTTTTCATTTCATTCCCCTACAGCGTCTCCTCTGCAATTCAGTGCTGCGGCTTCGGCAGCTGTGTTCCCTGTACACCTCTCTCTCTCTCTCTCTCTTTCTCTCTTTTGCCTTTCCTCTCTCTCTTTCATCAGCCGGTGAAAGAAGTGAGATCGTCTCACAGCCTGAGAGGTGTTTGGTGAGCCAATTTATTACCTAGTGCAACTGCTCTCAGCATATATTTCCTGCTCACATCATGCACACACATGAAGAGATTTAGTCAAACAGTAATGGGAGTACAACTTACTTCACATTGATTTCTATGAGGTGGACAGTGACAAAGTACATTTACTTGAGTACTTTATTTGAGTACACTTTTGGGTTATGTACTTTACTTGAGGATTATTTATTCTGGAAAATTTTCAGAACAAGACAAATACCGTACTTTTTACCCTACTAAGTTTCTGTCAAGGTCCTTGAGTAGAAAGTAATTACTGTATGTTTGTCAGGTCATGATTTTTTTCCCAGTCTTTTAAACATGATTGGATTTTTGCGGGTGACAGACAGCCTATCAGTAATCACCCTTGTATGGTCACATGTCGTGAAGTTCAGTGATTAGTACGATTTCTCTCCACTAGTGATCTGTGAGAGACAGTTTGGTTGTCACAACTAATGGTTGGTTAATTCTGATTAGTCTGTATTTAGTGCATGAATGGATACACATAGATGCTTACTTCTTTTGTGGGGGTGGTAGGGGTGTTACATAAAGGGCTGTCTTTTTTATCAATTCAGTTGTTTAATTTCTATAGGTTTTGTAACATTCTTAAAGCTCTTAATTCCACAGATACTTCAAACTGGTCAGTATTCACTAGGTTGCTTCATGCTGTAACAATGATAAAACAATGAATTTACATTTACTTTTGATACTCAAGTACTTTCAAAAGCAAGCACTACTGTATTTGACTTAAAGGGATAGTTCACTTTGTAATACATTTTTGATATGTTTTAGCTTACCTCAAGGGCATCCAAAGAGGTGTCTTTGTTTTCGCAGTAGTTTCAATTTTGATATTTTTAGTCATAATGGAGGTCTATGGTCACCACCTCAAAGAGCATGCACAGAGAAGTCCAAATTAAACATGATTTAATGACTCGAAAATGTAAGTACACATTGACGGCCTAAGACACAAAACGAGCAGTTTGTGTGAGAAAATGAAAAGTATTTATATTGTTTTTACCTCTTGTTACCACAGGCTGTGGTTACAAGAGGTAAAAGCGATATAAATACTGTTCGTTTTCTCACACAAACTGCTCGTTTTGTGTCTTAGGCCGTCAATGTGTACTTACATTTTCGAGTCATTAAATCATGTTTAATTTGGACTTCTCTGTGCATGCTCTTTGAGGTGGTGACCATAGACCTCCATGATATGACTGATAGACACGAACGGTTTGACCTAAATTTATCAAAATTGAAAATACTGCGACACCTACATCTTGGATGCCCTTGAGGTAAGCTAAAACATACCAAAATTTTATTTCAAAGTGAACTATCCCTTTAAATAAAAATCTGTCTTTACAACATTTACTTGTAATGGAATAATATTTGACCAGTAGTATAAGTAAGGAAGTTGTGTACTCTGTCCACCTTAAGAAGAAATTGGTGAATATGTTTCTCATAATCTACGTCAGATTGGCCATTCTTTACATTACACATTCTCTTGTCCAGGGGGGTTAAATTTGTAGATGCCAAGTACCTCCAAATATGAGCATCTTCATCCTAAAAATTAGGCCATCCCCCATCCTAAAATTTAAGCCATCAATACATGATTGTGGAAAGGCCCAGTTATACCCTTACTGTGAAATAATATGTCTAAAATATGAATTAGAATTGATAAAGACAGCCCTAATCATTTTCATTTCATTTTATGTCACACTCATACCACCCCCACAAATGAGTACGCATCTATGTATATCCATTCATGCACTAAATACAGACTAATCAGAAAAAAATCATAGTTGTATAACTGCCCAACAGCAAGAGAGACAGCTGATTGGTTTTGTTAGCCAATAATTTGTTTTAAGATATGCATTCACACCTGTCAGGGACAGACAAGTGTGAATGCATATAAAACAAATTATTAACTATAACAATTAACAAATGTCTTTATTGTCAACAGCTTAAATAGAAATCCCATAAATGTCTGAAGCAATTCCAGATTAGAAAAATAAATAAAATACATCAGCTTATCAACCATTGCTATATTTGGCAGGGGGGAATACTACAAGGATAAAACCTCACAGTGTGATTGTTGCTTTCGGCAGTCCTGGGTATATTCTGATTTTTGCAAGGAAAACGGCTTTTCAGGTTTGACCTGTTCGGATTTTGAATTATTAAATCCGCTTTGCCCTGATGTTAGTACAAAGTGTTCAGTCCCAGGGATATATGATGATACGGTGCGCTGATATCAGGAAATCCAGCACTATATATAAAAGTAGCAGGTTATAGGAATGTAAACATAAGCAAAAAGATATAATACAGCCAAGGCAACAGAAAGCCTTTCATTTCAGACTGGCTGGATGCAATTTCATGGCCTGTTCTTTTTGCTGTGGAGGAAAGGAATTGGGGAAAAAAGTGAAATCGATTGCCTGGATTGCATTTATACCTTAGTGGACCACCTTTTTGTGCAGTGATAGTGCCAAACATGGATCGCTAGTCTGTGCTAGACTGACAGGAACAAAAGAAAATGGTTTGAGCTGTGCCAAAAGATGCTCTTATCCTCTGGCCTGAGATAAGGGCTCAGAGGCAAGGATGAGAAAGTTCATCTAATATATTCAAAATCCATTGTCTTATGTGAAACAAATATGAACAATGTGTATTATTTTGAGCAAATTATTTATATGTGGGATTCAGTGGGAAAGCAGGAACTGAATTTAGGAAATAAATGACTGTAGACATTGTGTGAGACTGCATCCATATAAACTACAAAGGTCTATAATTGAAGATGAACCTTGAAACAATTCTATGTTTCCTTGAGCTGATTGACAATGTATCTAGAGAGAGGGAGAGGGATAGTTATGGATTTAGTATTTAGGTTGGCATGAAATCAAAAGTCTCCCCATCTGTTTTATGAATGCATAGATGTCTTAATTACTATTACTATTACTATTAATTACTTTTTTAGAGTAACTTACCCAACACTGCTAAATATTAACTTAAAATCACAGGGGGTAGTAAATATTTTAGGCCAAAGGGGTTCGGCTTACAAAAAGGGTGGGACTCCTTGGGTTACACTAAAAACACATACATTTGTAGCATTATCCAAATGTATCCGGTCTGAAGCTACGAAGTGCGTCTCTGGCATGACAGCTACAGAAATCCATGTAATTGGAGAAAATATTACAGTTTCTGTTATTCTCAGTAATTCATTCAGGCTGATCTGAAATAAGGTTCCTCCATTGATTAGTCCTAAAATCTCTTCTTTACTCTCAGGGAGTTTCTTTTCTTTTCTGGCCACTGTGGCATTGTTCTTGCTCACTAGGGGTCTAGGCTTCCAATTATGTAAAGCTGCTTTGCAACACTTACTATTGTTAATACCACAGCCTATACAAATAAATCTTAAGTAAAAAGAAAAGAAAAGAAAAGAAAAGAAAAGAAAAGAAAAGAGGGGGGAGTGCTGGGTTGGTGCTGTTCATATTTAAGCTTTAACTTGTGGAAGTTGTAGTGCTTGTAATGGCATTCATACATGTCAATACAATTTAAACGGGAACAGAAGACAAATCTGTGACGAATAAAAGTGAGGAAGAAAGATAAGATAAAATAGACGTGTCACAAGTTATTATTCAGGATCGTAACCACCATAAACATGCGGGGCATATAAATATCAGTTACCCAGCACAAACAAAAGCACAGACGTTCCTAATGGAATAAACTCCCCTGATATTGTATTGAACTGTTTTACGAAAACATACGGCCTCGAAAAAAGCCCATTGGCTGTCAAGGACGCTTGGGCGATGCTGATTGGCTGCTGCTTGTTTCCGGGGCTCCATGCCATTAGTGACGTCTTCCCAGTCGCTGTGAGACAGATTGGGGAGAATGGCTGCCAGTGGAGGTTAGATCTTCTCTTCAAAATCCAAACTTATGTCCAAAAGTTTTCTAACTTGTATACGTGTAATTTATCTGTGATGTTGTTTTGTTTTGATGGAATGTGATGGAGTTTGACGGTTTGATTAAATAACCACCAGAGTTCGCCGTATGTTTGTATAGGCAGAAAAGTACGGATAGGTAATTTAGCAGCTAGCGAGACTAGCTCAGCGAGAGACTGTAAACACTCGCTGGTTTACGATACCATTCATTCAACTACGTTAACCTTCGTTTGACTGGGTACTTTCATGACAACAATGCGTTGTCACGGTGTATATTCCGTGCTATGAAATGGCTCTAGCCTGGTCTTGAATGGCTCTCGAGACCGGACTAGCCTGATGTTGTGCTAACCGGTAAAACAGCACCTGGATTAGCACAGCTAATAAGTTAAGCATCGAAACTCGCTTACTCGTAGTAATCAAACAAGGGTATTTGATCAGATTAGCAGGAGAGTATTAAATCTCTGAGCATGTCAAAAGCATTACTAGTTGTTTAGAACATATATGGCTTATTTTTTCCGGATCTAGTTGCACACACATATAAGGGCTGTGACATTAGTTGGTTTATGGAAAAAATGTTTTGTCTGTTATTTTTGTCACTATGAATAGCTCTGAAACAACATTAACAAGTAAGCTTGGATGTCGTTGACTTTTTGCACAGAGGATGTGGGTTGAGAACATCTGTTGAATGAGCTCTTCACTCAAGTCTTTGTTTTGTCAAGTTGTTGTTTAGCAGGATTTTCATTGAAACCCAATAATGTTCTAACATCAAGGGCTAGTTAAGAGTAAAAACGCTCCTTTTCCAAATTACATGTCAGTTTAAAGGTTCGAATTATGGCTGTAAAATCTAACACAAGTCTGTTTACATAATGTTTATGTGTATATATAATATTATAATTATATATAATATGTATGTTTGTGTGTGTAAACTGTATATACCCAAATTTATACATAATGTAAGACATTAGAATGTAAAACTGTCACTGTAAAAGAGTCCTGCTTGTAATTCATGTTGTTTATTGCCACTATAAAATGTCATCATGTCAACGTTTGACGCTTATGTCTTGTAGACATAGGAAAGCTGTTACAAGTACAGAATGGGACTCCAGCAAGCACAAGTTACAACGGGGTAGATGCCCTACATGCCTGTAACATCCTCCAGCAGCTTAAAGCCTTGTACGACGAAGCTCAGTTGACTGACATTGTCGTAGAAGTGGACCATGGGAAGACATTTTCTTGTCACAGAAATGTCCTCGCTGCCATCAGCCCTTACTTCAGGTAGCACCCGCACAGACCCCACCTCTAAACTTTAAGTATCAGCCAATTTTGTAATATTTGTTGAGAAATTGCAAAATACAGCCTAGACTCTTCATTCATTGCAGATTTGATGTATAAAGATTTAGACATTCAATTATTTATTAGTCTATATATTACTACCTGTTAATCTTGATTATTTAATGTATGTTTATGTATGTTTAATGTATGACAGCAACTGTGTCAGTTATTATATTTCAATAACAAATTAGAGTAAAAACGTAAGTTAATGTAACTGCATTATGTTCTGTTTACATGTTTTCGTACAATGTGTTGGGTTTTAATTATTTTATCTAAAAAATAAATAGCATCTGAATTTAGGCTAAAAGTCTTGGCTCTGTTGTTAACCTTTAATGATATAGTAATGTGTGACTCCCTATATAGTTTACAGCATTAGCTGATTTTTTTTAATCCTTGCAAAATGTTTAATTGTAATGTAAAGACAAAGACATTTTTATTTTCATTAAACCACTGTTTTTAAAAAATAAGCAATTTTAGCTTTCTAAACCGAACCGTGACGTCAAAAGCATAGGAAAACTGAAACGTCAGTTTTGTGTATTGGTACACCCCATTATACACGGATATGAAAGTTTTAAACTGACTGATTAGACAGTCATTGTTTTCCTATTCATTTTGACTCATAGCAATACTTATCACTTGGCATGAAACGGAAGTTGCGATTGTATTTTCTCCCCAAATGTCTTTATGTTTGTAATTTGCGCACAAAAAGTATTCTCGTCGTTTGATAAACTTAAGATTGAGCCACTGTCACTTGGACTATTTTAACGTTGTCTTTAATAACTTGTCAAAGCCGGCAAGTTTCAATCCCTCAAGAAGCCTATGGACTAGTATGGAGGAGTGATCCAGTTCTCAGATTTCATCAAAAGGGGTATAGAGAAACTGAATCATCCGACAAGTTGTTTGAGAATCATTAAAAAATGTTGTGATGTGCATTTGTTGAGTGTTTTTTGACTTTTGCTAGTAAACCTACAACAGTAGGAGACAAACAAAATTAGGAACCTTTAAAATAGCATAATAGGGGCACTTGTCTTTCAGTAGTAGGGTTAGGTATCATTAGAGTTGTAGCGATTCCAGATTCAGATTCTTATAGATTCCAATGAGGTGAAAAAAATAAATAGAATAAATGTGAATAATATCCTTTAAGTCTTTTTGACTTTTTTTTTTTTTGCAGCTGAATACCATGAATTTAAATCAACAGGCTAAAGGACACTTTACACAAGGGACTTTTGCCTATAGTTTTAACAAAAATACCACAGCAAAAACAACTAGCCTAGCTAATATAATTGTCAAGCATTATTAAAGACAAGTAAACACTTATTAATTAAATGAGAACAAATAAACAAATTAGCAACAATAGCACAAATAAATACAACCAAACAAAGATACAAATGAAATAGACAGTGTTTTTAAGATTTACAGGTAGGTCTTGTTCTTTAATATTGCAAACTGTAATCAACTTAATATTTTTACTTAAAAATACTTTATAAATGATTAGGCTGCTGTCACTTTAATACAGAATTCACGGATCCAATATACTGTTACACCTGCATTTTCTTTATCAACTGTTTACATTGATGCATAACTCCTGCTTTGTTGTGTTCACATTGTAATGGTGTTTTGTTTTATCTTCAGATCCATGTTCACAAGTGGCCTTACAGAGAGCAGTCAGAGGGAGGTGCGGATTGTTGGCGTGGAGTCAGAGTCCATGCATTTGGTTCTGGACTATGCTTACACCTCACGGGTCACTCTCAGCGAGTCTAACGTGCAGGCCCTGTTTACCGCCGCCAGCATCTTCCAGATCCCAGCCCTCCAAGACCAATGTGCCCAGTTCATGATCAGCCGTTTAGACCCTCAGAACTGCATTGGGGTCTTCATGTTCGCAGATGCATATGGCCACCAAGAGTTGCGTGAGCGTTCACAGGATTACATCCGCAAGAAATTCCTGTGTGTGATGGGAGAGCAGGAGTTCCTTCATCTGACCAAAGAACAGCTGGTCAGCATTCTCAACAGTGACGATTTGAACGTGGAAAAAGAGGAGCATGTGTACGAAAGCATTGTGCACTGGCTGGAGTACGATGGTCCAGGTCGGGAGGTAGATTTACCCGAGGTTTTTGCCAAATGCATCCGCTTGCCCCTGCTGGACGAGGCCTTTCTGAGCCGTATACCCCCAGCCTTCGCCCTGGCCTTGTCCAGGGATTCCTCGGATAAGGGTTGGCTCAACGGCACCAACGGCTGCCCGCAGCGGCTGGGTATGACTGCATCCGAGATGGTCATCTGCTTTGATGCAGCTCACAAGCACTCAGGGAAGAAGCAGACCGTGCCTTGCCTGGACATTGCTGCCGGGAAGGTGTACAAGCTGTGCAAGCCGCCCAATGACCTCAGAGAGGTCGGCATTTTGGTCTCGTCAGAGAACGACATCTTCATCGCTGGAGGCTATCGGCCGAGCAACAGCGAGGTGTGCATCGACCACCGCGCGGAGAGCGACTTCTGGCAGTACGAACATGCTGGCAATAGGTGGCTCCCACGGTCGCCCATGCTCCGGGCGCGCATCGGCTGCAGGCTGGTGCACTGTTGCGGGAAACTCTACGCTCTGGGTGGTCGAGTGTACGAAGGGGACGGGCGAAATGCTTTAAAATCCGTGGAGTGCTATGATGCCAGAGACAACTGCTGGACGGCGGTCAGTCCCATGCCGGTGGCCATGGAGTTCCACAGCACAGTGGAGTATAAGGACCGCATCTATGTGCTGCAAGGTGAGTGGGGTTATTGCAGAGTCGCCTGAAATCAGGGTCATCAAAGTGTACAAACACATATATCCTTGTAATTCATTGGCCTGTCATGTCTTCTAGCCCTGCTTAGATGATAAGGTAAGACGGGTTAACCTCTCTCAGCAAAATCAGCAATAACTGAGAGCATAAAAGAGCTAGAGTAGCTCTTAATCTTCAGGGATGCACCGACATTTCAGCCCCTGGAAAAAAGTGTCATCGGAAATTATTGGTCAAAATAAAAAATATTTAGGAAGAAAAATGTACAGGCCAACTGATATTTTGCTGGAAAGAGCTCTTTTTAGTTGATTAGCCCGTCATGCTTCAGTCGCAATCCAGTTTTGATATTAAGATGCTTTGCAATTTGATTGAATCATGTGTGGTTAAAATAAGGATTTTTTTATAGTATATTTCACACTGAAACATGCATACATAAAAATTTACTCAGTTGTTTTTAAAAAAAAAATAGTAGCACTATTTTAGTGTCCTTGTGACATATCACATGCACTTACTGTAGTGTACTTTTTTTAGTTAAGTAATTATATACTATACAATAGAGTTAGAAAAATACAGACTTCGGTAGCAAGTCGGTACTGAAATTAAAAAAAAAAAAACGCTGTTGAGCGGACTCGTAAACACTTCTGATTGCCTATTGTACTCATGCGCTCATCGGACATGTCTTTGATTGGATCAGCGCTTCAAAAATATGTAAATATACATTAATGACGCTCTTCTTACACGGATACAGACGGGAGAAGAAAGCTTGTGCTTTCATACGCTCGCGTTTTTTAAAACACCTTCCGTGTGCTCTCAAACGCTCCAGTGATAGATCATTGTAACCAATCACAGACATATCTGATGAGCACCATATAAATCATACTGTTGTGGTCTATATAAAACATAACTGCAATGCTTGGGTCTGAATTCCTCATTATTATAGCTCCACAAGCCCCTTTTCTACCCCTTTTCTGATGTGCGTCTTTGAGCGACCCGTTTCAAAGCGTTCCCTTTAAATAAAAAGGAGATGCGTCACACCCCGCCCGCTCTCCAGGTCGATGAGTTCACGGTCAGTTCAACTCCCCACGTTCGGCCATTATTGTAGTTTGATTAGAGATATACGATTATATACGATACCTTCAAAGAACATTTTTATTCACACGTTAATAAAATGTCAACAACAGAAGAGTTGTCCATCAAGCCTTACATATTCGAGCCAGAGCGAGCCAGTTGATAAAGACGATGACGAACCTGCAGAACAATGTCTTCATATGATGTATTGGTATGTAAGTTAACTGTTTTGTGTTATTAGTGAAAGTCGACTATTTCTCTTGTTAAAACAAGCACACTGACAAAAAAAAAAATGACTACGGTCTAATATTACCACAAACAATCTGTATTGACAATATGATACGTTTAGAAAAGCATCAGAAAACACAGCAGCTAAATGACCATTGATGAAACTCAAGAACAATAATACTGCAAACGTGTAACGTTACTTCAAAACAAAAACAAAGAAAGACAAAGGTACTGCTAAACCATGAACACCATGTGTTTTTAGAAAGTAAAGTACTTTATTTTTATTAACGATATTTACAGCTTATCGAAATGCTCTGTTCGTCGTCTCCAAAGATAGAAGGAATTTACCCCTCATTCAGACGAAGTCGATCTGCAAACCCTTCTTTATACTGGCGGAGGTTGTTGAAGTGGGAATCCTTGAAGTGCTTCAGGTCACTACATCCAACAACCAAACATTTTGACTTGCCATCTCGTAACTTCTGCATCATTGCGCTTGGACTACAAAATCGGAGCGAGAAGTAATAATGGCGGATTGCTCGAATTGTTGGACCGGTAGTCAGTGTCCTTATTTGGCAGTTCCGCTGCAAACACTTGCTCAAAAAACGTCATAGAGAACAGAAAAATCTGAGCAGGTTGAAAAATATGACCAAAACAGAATATAAAGACATAAACGAAGCACCTGAAGAGAATAATTTCATCTTTTCTGTACTTATAAACTCTCCAAATATACAACAAAATGCATTTAAGGGCTAAAAAAGTGGATTTTGCATGATATGTCCCCTTTAACACAATGGCGAATCAGAGGTGTTTACGATTCTGTCCAAAGCGTCACAATTTAAAAATGTCAGTTCTGACTTGGTACCGAAGTCGGTACTTTTGACAGCTCTACAGTATAACGTACTAATTTGGGATGTTATTTACATATTTAGCGAAACTGGCAACCAGTTTGAATATTGCTCATTTTTTTTTATTACGACTCTTTCTCAGGAGAGTACTTCTTCTGTTTTGACCCTCGCAAAGACTACTGGGGGCATTTGCCGTCCATGAACGTTCCCCGTACTCAAGGCTTGGCCGCCCTGCATAAAAACTGCATCTACTACATAGCAGGCATCTGCAGGAACCACCAGCGCACATTCACCGTTGAGGTGTACGATATCGAGCAGAACACCTGGTGCCGAAAAAGAGACCTCCCCTTCGACCAGGCGACCAGCCCCTACATCAAAGTGCTTCTGCTTCAGGGCCGATTGAATCTGTTTGTCCGAGCTACGCAAGTCATGGTAGAAGAACACGTGTTCCGTACCAGCCGCAAGAACTCTCTCTACCAGTACGATGATGAAGTCGACCATTGGACAAAGGTTTACGAGACGCCGGACCGCCTCTGGGACCTCGGCCGACATTTTGAGTGTGTGGTAGCCAAACTATACCCTCAGTGTCTTCAAAAAGTGCTGTGAGTGGCGAGAAGGGGGAGATCACGATACAACGGGCTGTTTGAGACAGCTGATCAATGTTGTTGGAGGAGGGGGATGGTCAATACATGGTGCTGTCTGTGTCCCCAACATCAGAACTGCAGGGGAAGTCTTAAAGCGTTAAAGGTTTCAATCAATAAACTTGAGGGTGCTTTTCGAAACAGTTAAAAAAAACAACAACAACTACAGTGTTTTACGTTTGACTATTGTGCACAAAGCACCCTCACAACTGCTTGTTTTACAGTTAGAAAAGTGAATCATAAGTGCAATTATCAGTTTCTTTTTTGTTTTCACAGATGTTGAGTCATTTCTCAAGTTTTTCGCTACCGTTTGGCTTGGGTTGTTGGCATGCATTGTTGGCGAACATGAGTAGTTGATGTCCTTAAGAACAAGCAGTATGTTAACAGCTGAGTAAAAAAAACAACAACAGAATAATAGGTGAAAAAATAAATATTTATAGCTATAAATATTCATACGGGTATGATGAGCGATTTTGCTCACTGTTAGTGTGAATACTGTTTGTTTTTTTCTTTTAATTGTCTTTTCTTTCAGTTTTTCAGATGTATAAGTTGACCCATGCCACCTACAAAGAGACTTTCTGTGGTTTGCTTAAGAACTTAGAGAAGTTTGATTATTAATGGATATTATTTTGTTTGCCAATATGTGGTTGAATAGTTTTTTTTATCTTAAATTTTTATTTTTCATTTAAGTCAACCCATGTTCTATAACATCACAGCAGTTTTTAATTTTCATTTGGACTCTGCTTTTATGACGTTTCGTTGAGCCCAGCTCCCACGTCCAAATCTATATCTTTGCAATTTCACATCACCAGCCAGATCTTTAGTGAGGTTATAAGATTATTCTCAGTCTCCATATTGGAGAAGAAATAAAAGGACACCAGCTTTGTGTTGCTGAAATCAAAGTGGGCAATTTGTCGACAGCCAATCAAACAACAAGAACCGCTCAGATCAGCGAGCGGGTTGGAGAAGAGGTGGCCAAAATGTGGATGCTTACATTCCACTGTCATTTATCGAGTCCTTGTATCTGAAACCTACAGGTGCAGTTCGAATATAAATGCCTCCAAAATGCCAAAACGAGTCCTAGTCTGCACCCCATGGCAGCAATAACAGGTGTTCTGTCATTGTTTCTCAGATAAAGTGCATTAGAAACTTAAGCGATGAATAATTCCAGAAAAAATGGCCTTTGTTGAATAATGTTCAGTGAGATGTGTCGCTATCCAGGGATGTTACAGTGCCTGTTCATATGAAAAGCCCAGGCATCAGGTGATGGTTTGAGTCTTGCAGTACACTTTGCTTTTGACTTTAGAAAAGGTCTGTTTTGCAAATGGATCCAGTCCTCCTATATATATATAAATATATATATATAGAGAGAGATATATATATTAGCATTCATGTGCTCCCACATGCCCTGTAAATGAACACTTTGTTTTATTACTTTCCATCCCCTTATCTTCCAGTCGCAACTATGGAGAAGAATAATCGTTTTTGGTGCTGCTTTTTTGACAATCTTGTACAGAATATACAGTGATTTTACAGCCATTTATCGTTGCTTGACGCTTCCAAAAGTTGTCAGTCTTCTAAGTTATTGTCTCTGGACATTTGTTTGTTTTTTTTCCGGCCTCATGTTTATTTGGTCATGCAGGTTCCTGATTTTGCACTACATTATTTCCTCCCTCGAAAGCGTCCCGGAATATAGAGCTCTGTTTTCGGACGCGGAGACTGAGGACGTGGTAAGCGGCGTCTTTAAATAGGACAGCTGATGCGCTCTCATGTCGGGCTCTTCGGCGCCTGCGAGGCCGAGCCTCATCTGGGGTTTTGGTGAAGGGAGAGGGATGAGAAATGACATTGGCTTTGGTGCAGTTGGCCGCACGGTTCACATACGCTCAGTAGCACGGGAACCAGAAATGGACACTTCTCAGGATTATTGTTGATACACAGTACTGTATTTAAATGGTTTGTTGTATGTGTAATATACTGTACCATATGTTTGCTGTACTTGCACAGTTTTTTTTTTAAAACAGGATTTTTTTTGTCCTTTATTTCTAACTTGAAAGGTAGATTTTTTTTTTTGGTGTTTCTGTTTTTCCTCTTTTCTGATGGGTGTGTTTTAATTCTTTTTTTCTAATTTAATATTTAGTCTTTTAGGTTTGTTAGTTTATGATTTTGCTCAGTTAAATTGTGAATCACAAAACACAGGACATTTAGACAAGAATTTTGTTTTTTCTTTGTGATTGCACCAGTCTTATAGAAAGCAAAGCATTACAGAAAATAAGTTATGGCAGTGCTACTTTCCAAAACACCAGTCTGTCAGATGTTAAATAAAAGCTTTGAAAGAATTATAATTTATTATTTTGTGTTGTTGGCTGCTGCAGGTGTCAATGCTCTACAGCCACTTCTTTCATTTTTCCCTCAGCTCGCGGTTAATTTATCCACAGAAGTTAAAACAGTGTTTTTTCGTTTTGCATTTCTGCTTTGCATTTTATTTTTTATGTCTTTGGTTTGCTTGTATGTATGGTGTGAGTTTAGTAAACATTCATTGATCTCTACTGTGAAATTCACCTTGCACATGATTTGAAAAATAAAACAATAAAAAGTAAATGGTGTTATGAGTTGATATTTGCCCTTTAAAATGTTTTGTTTATTTTTAGAAAGAAGATGAATGTATAGACGAGGACATTTTATGAAATACAGTGCCCTCCACAATTATTGGCACCCCTGTTTAAGATGTGGTCGAGGACTTTTAAAAATTCTCCCTTTTTTTTAAACAACATAGAATCCAAATGCAAAAAAAGAGAAAAATCCAACCTTTTATTTAAGTACATTACTTTGGTGGTAAAAAAAAAATTAAAATTTAAAAAAATAAAAACTTCAAATCATGTGTCCCACAATTATTGGCACCCCTGATGTTAATACTTTGTACAACCCCCTTTTGCCAACAAGACAGCACTTAATCTCCTCCTATAACATTTCACAAGATTGAAGAACACAGAGAGAGGGATCTTTGACCATTCTTCTTTGCAAAATCTTTCTAGATCATCCAGTATCCTGGGCCCTCTCTTGTGCACTCTCCTCTTTAGCTCACCCCACAGGTTTTCGATTGGATTGAGGTCTGGGGACTGAGATGGCCATGGGAGGACCTTGAGTTTGTGACTGAACCATTTTTGTGTAGATTTTGCCACACGTTTTGGATCATTATCCTGCTGAAAGACCCAATGACGACCCATCTTCAGCTTTCTGGCAGAGGCCATCAGGTTTTTATTTAAAATGTCCTGGTAGTTCAAAGCGTTCATAATGCCATGCACCCTAACAAGGTTCCCAGGGTCTTTGGAAGAGAAACAGGCCCACAGCATCACAGATCCTCCACCATACTTCACGGTGGGCATGAGGTACTTTTCGGCATACACATCTTTTGTTTTACACCAGATCCACTTAGAGTGTTTGTTGCCAAAAAGCTCAATCTTAGTCTCATCCGACCAAAGCACACGATCCCAGATGAAGTCCCAGTGCCGCTTGGCAAACTCCAGACGTTTACGTTTGTCAGTGTTAGTGAGAAAAGGCTTTTTCCTAGCATGCCTCCCAAACATCTTGTTGGCATGTAGAGAGCGTCTGATGGTTGTTTTGGAGATTTTGTGACCCCAAGATGCCACTATTTGATGCAATTCTGTGACAGTGAGCTTAGGACTTTTTTTTTACTTTTCTTAGCATCCTCCTCACAGTGTGTTGTGGCAAGATAAACTTGGGAACTCTTTCAGCCTTGTTTGTCACTGTTCCTGTTGTTTTAAACTTCTTAATGATTCCTCTAACTTTAGATATGGGCAATATAAGGTGAGTGGCTATTTTCTTGTAGCCATTGCCTGACTTATAAAGGTCATCACACATCTGCCTTACTTGAATGGTGTGTTCTCTTGTCTTTGCCATGTTGACAAATGGGTAAGAGAATTAGGCCTCTGTGTCATGTCATATTTATACCCCAGGGAAATAGGAAGTCATGAATTACTAATTAAAAGTTCCTAGATATCCTGACCAACATTAGCAACTACAGAAAATATATATATTTTTTAAAAATCAATTACATTTTTCAGCGGAATTGTTAGGGGTGCCAATAATTGTGGGACACAGGATTTGAAGTTTTTATTTTTCTAAATTTTTACATTTTTTTTTACCACCAAAGTAATGTACTTAAATAAAAGGTTGGATTTTTCTCTTTTTTTGCATTTGGGTTCTATGTTGTTTAAAAAAAGGGAGAATTTTTAAAAGTCCTCAACCACATCTTAAACAGGGGTGCCAATAATTGTGGAGGGCACTGTATATTTCTAGTGGTCTGTGAATGAAAATACAAACCCAACCACACAGATTTCATTCAACTTCTTTTCAGTGCTTTGCCCCATCACAGCTTCTCTCTCTATGAAGTAATTATGTCTCATAGTCATAAATCATCCTTGCCATTATATCTATCCTGATTTGAGTTTCTGCTTTTATCTACCTTGGGTTCACTAATGCATTTTCAGTATCCTTGACCAACTACTTTAAAGAGTTTCAGATAGCCGTGCTTGTCCTCCCTCGTGCTTCCTGTTTTTTTTTTTTTTTTTTATGCAAGGGTTTGCTCTATTTAATTATTCAACGGAATCTTATTTATAATCAAACTGGATGAGAACTGAATATTCATTTGTTCCAAAAGTAAATCTTGCCATCTTATGCAACAAATTTTTGCTCTCAAATTTGGGCAAACCTTAGATTCTCCTAGTCCTTGGTGTTTAGCATTCATTTTAAAAAGGACCTATTATGCTTTTTTTTATTTTTTTTTTTTTTACATGTTTTAACTTTCTTTAGTGTGTAATGTCTGCAAATTAACGAAACACAAAGGATAGGATACAAATCCGGGCCTCATCTGAGCCAACTATGGCACATATGGCTCAGTTCTGGCAATGGCAAATAGGTCATATGTGCCATAATGAAAAAAAAAAAAAAAAAATGTGCGTACGTCTCTCTTCCAGGTGTGAAATTTATAAATCGCAAATGATTTTTAAAATGTTTGTGTCTGAATTGTTTCAGATCTCCGCCTTGTAAACGCTGCCTAATGCTTTAAAGCAGCATTATGATATTTTTGAAATTTTGCTCTTGGGGTCCCCCTACAGGTGAGAAACAGTAATGTCTTCTACTATCTGTCATGGTTACACCAGGGAATACACGGTGTTGCTACCCTATCTCACGACCAATTCGTACGAATTCGTACGAATGATTCAAAAGTGGCTAATTCGTACTAATTCATACGACCTCACTCGTACAAATTTGTACGATTTGTCTAAACCCACGTGACGGTTATGTTTAGGGGCGGGGTCAGGGGTAGGTCATTCGTACGAATTCATACGAATTGGCTAATTCGTAAAATATGTACGATTTAGCTAAATCGTACTAATTCGTACGAGTGAGGTCGTACAAATTGTTACGAATTAGCCACCTCGTAAAATTCGTACGAATTCCCGTGAGATCGGGTTGGGTGTTCTCACATCTCGGGCAGACTCCAGTGTTGCGTATGAAAAGTCTTCATCCCAGGTACATTGGCCTATTTTTCAGCATGTCTTATGAATATAGTGTCATGGGCTTTATTTTTTTTTTCAAACGTCAAAAGATTGTGTAGCTCACGTTTACAAGCCAGCGTCTTTATTAACGTTAGGCTATTGGCTACTGTTTTTCATAATGGATATGCTAATTCAATTCAATGTTTGTTGGTAGATAATAGCCATGTCGTCAAATAATATCAAGCCACCATAGATGAATCTGCAAATTTGAAAAATCGATTTGCATTATAGCCTGAGGCAAGACTCTTTCACCAGAAAAATAAATAACAAACATGACTATCAGCTGCCCTGCAGACATAGGATAGTTATCCTGACCGATTATTTTGTCCGTCTAATCATGTAATATTTACTTGCAAGAATGTAGCCCATACCAAACTCAGTAATCAGTATACTTTCACGCCTCGAGCTGGCGCGAGCTGCCCGCCCCGGCTTTGTGGGGATGCTTGAGTGTGTTAAGCGCCCTCAAAAGAAAGCAATGCAGTCTACATGATGCGGACACAACACATAACCAACAGTAAACTGATCGCATGCGCTCTGTTTCTGGCGCACTTCACATTTGGTGTTATTTGCTGCTTCAGCCATGACAACATACAGAGGTAAAAAAAAAAAAAAAACGGTCATTGGGCTCTCGAATCGGAATTTGAGGAAGTGGGGGAAGTGACGTATGCTGTAAAGCAGTCAAATTTTCTAGTTCTTTTTGTGCTCGGGTTCCAACCCGTCCCCGAAGTTACAGAGTGCCAGTAAAAGCGATACAGACACCGTCAGGCTACGGCAGGCCGGTCATTCAACCTACTGTAAGTCGATGTACCATATCAAGGGTTTTGGAAAAACATTATATATAAAGGTTATATATAATTTTTATATATAACTTTATATATAAAGGTTGAAAAACTACATAGTCCTGCTTTAACATAGAGCACAAGTCAGCGTCCAAATCCTTAACTTGAAAATGATCAGTTCTTAAAGACACCCAGAGAGCAACAAAGTGTCGGCCCAGGGGTGCGTTTCCCGAAAGCATCGTTAGCCAACTATGGTCGCAAGTTGGTCGCAATTTCCATTGAACTCTATTGGAAAATGACGGAACTTGCGACCATAGTTGGCCGACGATCCTTTCGGGAAACGCACCCCAGATCAGGCCCACATCTGGTACGTTTGGAATCCACATGTACCAGATGTGGGCTGACACTATATTGCTCTCTGGGTGCTCTCTGGGATGATAGCAAATGACAAATATTACATACAGTATATAATACACCCTGACAAGGTTTCTAAGTGTCTATTAGCAGAAGCACACAGGAAGAATATATAAAATAGAGAGAGAGAGAGAGAGAGAGAGAGAGAGGGGGGAAATGAGTACGAGACCCAGCGGTCCCATGTGTAATAGCAAAGGCAGAGGGCTTCATCATACTGCCCTTGGCTTCACTTTCCCCAATGTCACCCTATAATGCAGTGGAAGAAAGACAGCAGGAATACATCAGACACGCTTCCATTGCTTCTCTTCCACACACACAAAACAAATGCTCCCAGCTGGAGCTCCATCATAAGCTCACCTGAGCAGCTTTGACTTTGGCAGTCGGGCTATTGAAAATGTAATGGAAGAGAGACCTCCGATACCAGAGGAAACCCCACTTCCCTGAATCGAGGTACATGCAAAGCTGTATATTTCTTTTGTTTAGAAATGGACAAAATCCATTATGATGGAGTCTATCAGAAAGCAAGGACAGCCTGAATGCCTCCAGATCACGTGAAATGAAAGAATTTTTCTATGCTTTCATTTTCATCCGTGTTCTTTTTTTCTTTCTTCGAGCCGTAAGGATTCCTGTCTGGTGTTTATTCATGAGGATGTGAGGCATCCTACGTAATTTATAGCCAAACCCAATCACAGACGCTTTTCAAGGTTGTAAGCATTCGCAATGAAGGATAATCGCACCGTTGTCAGCTGGTAACTGTAATCTTTGAAAATGATCCATGTCTCATAAACATGTAATCTTCCATGTGTTTATGAGAGATGCTGAATTA